ATACTTTTGCAGGTTACTGAAAGAGGAATATCAATTGTATAAAGCACATATCTATTTTCTATTGTCGTTATCGTGGTTATTTCATTTACTCCTTTAAACGTATCGTCATCATTTTTATCACAATTTCAGTAATTATACAGTAGCGATCATAAGTATCCGAGCGCCCAGCATTGCCCAAAACTACTGGGGCGTAATATGTATGTAATAGGATACCTGATCACTTGTACATTTATAGATTGGTGAGCTTCTATATCTATATCAACTATCATGTCCCAGTCATTTCATAACACATCTCAATATCCAATAATAAAAATACTATTCGATTTGTCTTTATTCAAATCGGATCACTGAATGTCGAAATATTGTGTCTTAAAGTAACCAATCGACATTGACCAGCCAATTTAGGACGGGACATCCTAAATTGACCTATCGCTATTCATTTTTTTGGTGATTAATAATAACATAAATTAAAAATTGATCGACAAATGTTAATCTGTCTTTATCGTTATAGGATGACATACAGTGACCCGATTTGAACGAAAATATCGCCATTTGATTCTAGATTAGACGAATCGAATGGTTGTATTTTCGTTCAAATCTGGTCGCTGGACGTCGAGATATTATGTCATTAAGTGACCGATTTATTGTATTGGGGGGATTAACATAAAATACCCAATATAAATATACAAGCGATCAGGTGTCGTATTACATTTAAATTTTAGTACCCTAGCCATGGCAAAAAAAAGGGTCTGTTCATGTGATATTTGTGTATGTCTGGAAAAATTCTACGGTAATAGAGGTTATTGTTAAAGGTTAATTTAAAAGTTAGGATTAGGGTGATGGCTAGAGCTGGTGTCAAAATTATATGTGAAATTGCCTTCCAGACTGTTTTATTTAGTGTACCAAGCTGGATTTAGGTATGTCTCCCGTATTTTTTACATTTTTTGCTTTTTTCATTTTCTTGTGTTGTTTTGTGCCACCAGCAGCACGTGAACCGACCCTTTTTTGCTGGATGATCGTTATACGTAGTATAATTTTGGCAATGCCGGGCGTTCGGATACTTATGGTCGTTACTGTATATGACCGAAAATAAGAAATCTTCCACTTTGGAGAAAAAAATTGATAATGTAACAAGTACTGAAAATAAGAACCCTTCTTTTTACCGCCTATTTGACTGTTATGTTTTTTAAATAGCAATAAATATATATATCCTGAATTAAAGTTTTATTAAGAACCATTAATTATTGGATAAGATAAGCTTTAAAATGAGAAACCCCTCATTTTGGATTGTTAGAATGTCACAAATTGGAATCATATAATTAATACAATTTTATGTATTACTAGTTAGAATCCGGCAAAAATAACAATATTCAATAATTCTGGATAATTGAGTTTGTTTGGTGTTCGAGTGATAATATTGAATTCACCTTGCACCTTTTAGAAAATTAAGCCTCAAACTACCTCAATTTTCAGTAAAACCAATTTTTTAAAATTTATTACTAAATTAACAACCCCGAGGCCAAATTAAAGTCCGTATTTTCTCCGTGAACTTTCCGGAAAATAAAAAAATCCCGGGTTTCTTCCGATTTTGAAATTGGAAAAAATCAGATTTTTTTATATTGACTTTCCCGATTTTAAAATCAGAAATAAATAAAAAATATTTTTACGTGATATCTTGCGAACCAGTATTCTGATTCAAAGAAAATTAATATCGCTTAATTCATCATATCAAGTTAAATCAAATGGTAATAAAATTGTTTGAATTTGCTCACTGGTTCCCATTAAAACGTTAACTTTTATTTTTTACACGCCCATTCACCAAAAAGCAAAGATCAGTGATCAATTAATTGTCAATAATTAAATGCCAATTGTAGAAGCATGTACTTCTGAAGCTTCAATAGCAACAACAATGCATCCTACTGTATCACAACCAAGTCGAAAAGTGACGATTTACAAGAATCAAACGCCATTGAAATGATCGATGTTAATTCATTGGATAATATGAAGCTTAATGAATTATTCAGGTTTGCAGCTCTTTTTTTATAGTATCCCATTCTTAAGCTTTCAGAAAATATTTTTGTGATTAAATTTAGTTTTTGCTAGAAGTGCAGAAATTTTTATTTTACTAAAATCACTTTTCATTATCCAGCAAAAAGTTGGTCTTGCATTTGTAACAAAACCAGTTATGAAAGTTTAAACTTCTATCAAAGCCACGTAAGTTATTATAGAAGTATTTTTATAGAAATTAAGAATTCCTGCAGTTGTTCGCACTTTAAAATAATTCAAACAGTTAATGAAATTTATATTAGCGCGATTGTAATAAATATATATTTTTGTTCTTAATAAAAAGATATTACAATTGCCTTTAAAGATTTATAATTCTCTGTAGTTTGTAACTAACTGAATACAACCAGAGCTCGATTTAACGATGAATCGATAATCAAATTTCAAGATGCTAAATCGTGAGATTACTAATAGACCTCGCTAGATTCGAACACAGTGGAACAAGAATTGTCAACTCGCGATTTCATTAAATCGCAGTCAATAAATCGAGCCCTGACTGTAGACTTTTAATTTAACATTTTAGTTATATCTCGAAATTTGAGTATCGATTCATTGGTAAATCGAGCCCTGACCATAGAAGACGCAATAAACTTAAAAATTGTAAAATAAAATCTCAGCGCCCATCTGGTAACAAATTTGTGTGATATTGTATTATATCTGAAAAATGTATTCTAATAATACGCAGTTTCTGTTTTCTCAAAAGAGTTTGAAATATATTTTCAGTGTGATGACAAAATAAAGAATAGAAATTATTTACTATGGATGATGTGGAAATAACCAAAACACAATAATTATCGTCTTTTCTAGCATAACAATTAACATATCTAAATTTACCTTCATTTTTGTTATTCGGACGTAAAATAGCCGTTGGCTATAGTTCGGTAGCCAATTATTATCAAAAACGAAAGAGCGAATTAAATGCTCGTAAAAAACTGTTGTGACAGTTAGCCACATTGTATACTTCATATCAATCAATAATTGCTCTACTTATTGTCTTTGAAATTTCGTTCTTTTTCAAAAAAGCCTGCACCCCAATTAGTATCATTTTATATCTGTATAAAGCATAATTTAATATAAATTTTTAAAATGTGTTATAAACAAAATATTGTTGCGAGATGTGATCGTATTTTTCTAGAATAATTTTTCTTATCATAATATTTACCAGAAAATTATAAACTATAACGATAATGACTTTTTATCATATGAAAGTTATTTCTGTTTAACAAATTTATTGTGTCTTGAAACCGGAGGAAAGGGTGACTTATTTAAAATTACCGAGATTCATGGGATAATAAAAATCCGGCGATTAAACCATTTCGAAAACAGGCTGGGGATAAGACTATTGGTTTTTTATACTATCTTCTATTTTTCAAAGTTTATTAAGCTTCTAGAATCTTTCTTTTGAATTTTGCAAGTACTGTACTGTAAACATTTAGCATTTATTTTTTGATAACAACAATATGCAAGAAAAATCTACACAATTCATTTTTCAGAATTAGAAAATACATGTATTTATCGGTACAGAACAATAATAACTTCACCAATTAATTGGAAATAAGAAATGTGTAACTTCAGAATGATTTAAAGTGTATTATTTGGATCTTGAGCATTTCATGATTTGTCACTCGCTATATTTTAAACTTAAAAGCTCGCCATAGTATAATTTGAATGCCTTCTCCAAATTGTCTACATAATTTTATTGCTAGATTTTCTATTATTATGTAAACAAAATATCAATTTTAAAAAGTGTACTCGAACGGAACACGTTAAAATATCTTTAATCCGCATACAATTATTCAGAACTTTCAACAACTTACGATTACAATTAGGGATAAGAATCAATTCTCTAGAATCGAATAATTTCGAATCGATTCTGAGAATCGATTAATTTTGTAGAATCGAGGAAATCGATTCTTAGAATGATTAATATTTGAGAACCGATTAAAATTAAAGAATCGAAGACAAAATCGATAACGATAATGCATACGTAATCATATACATAAATACATGTAATTGGAAATCATAATTTTCACGTGAAAAACATACAAATGATATAGCGCTATATACGTACTCTATATTGATAATAACCAAGAAACCATTGCCAATACATGTATAAAGTTTAATAACTCTGATAGTGATATTGATCGAAATCTCAATCTGATGATAATACTTCAATTGCTTCTATACCACGTAGTATCTACGAATTCAACTAAACAACTCTACTCCAACAAAAAATCAACATGCAATGAAAAAACAAAACCCAAGTCTAGTTATGACATCGCCGTCTTCGTCGTTATTGTCGTCGTCATTGCTGTTGTCATAATCATCGTACGAGAATCGATTTTTGGTTGAAAATCGATTCCTATCCCTATCGCTATATCCAATTCTTTCACAATTCTTGCCATATCACCTGAATGTCTATTTTCAGATGTGGGAAACTTATTACACACGAACGAAATCGAAAATAGCTGTTTAGTAGAACTTGAGAATCGATTCTCCAATTGAAAATCGATTAATCGAATTTATTTAAAACGATTAATCGATTAATCGAAATTATTAATCGATTCCTATCCCTAATTACAATATAGATGCATTGACTCGATAATTTTCCTTTCGAATTTTGTTGAGAAATACAGTAGTTTATTTAATTCTTTTATTAATGCTTAAACGGTGAAGTCTTCTTACGCGTTCAGACTTAATTCTAAACTTCACCGAGATAACAAACTTTGATTTACTTGCACAATTGTTGATAGCTTTGAATTTATTGACACAACTTCTGAATTACTTATTTCAAATAAATTCAATAGTTAGTTTACTTCTGATACATGTATTTATTTATTTATGATATTTAATATAATAATTATTTAACGTTATACATTTATTATATAGTAATTTAAATATTTAACGTTAATCCAAATATTCATTCAGGGCTCTTGTTAAAAATTGTAAGTTTGCATACCCGAAATGCCAGTAGATTGCAAATTAACGACCTGGTTTCCTTGCAGATTGTGTGTCCCTTGAGGTTGCATCACTTGATCGGGTGTTGGTAACTGGTTTATATAGACCGATTGTGGATTGGTGAAAAATGTCGCACCTGAACTTTTAATTTGTGCCAAGTCAGAACTAGCGTCTGGTTGCTGCATAGTAGTCCTGCGGCTTAACGGTTGATTTGCGTTATTCGTATTTCTCACAAAGTTTCAAGGTATCCCACGTTCACAACATAATCTTTTAAAAAGAGCTCGAGTGCTTTAAATTCATCATCGGATTTAGGGTCATTTGTAGCAGGCGAAAAAAACGGAATTATTGGAAATTTGTTGCGGACAAGTTTGCTGTTATCATTTGGGAAACAATATCTATGAATCAATCCCCAAGGATGTAATACACCCGTTCCTTTTTAAATATCAAATTAGAATGATAAGTTAAAGTTTTAAAAGATTGATTAAATAAATTTTTTAAGAATATATATACCAAATAAACAAGCATATACTCCTGCAGCAATCACCCATACGCCACCAAATAAACCAAGTCCTCCTAGGAACTAATGAAAATTAAGTTTGTAAAAAACCATCTATACAAAAAAGAGTATAATATACATACCGTTTTTGATCTTTTCAAAAAAATTAAGTGTTCATTATTAATCAAAGAGAAATAAGCTATGAATTATCAAACCAGGCCATTCAAAAAGAATTATTGTTTTTATTGACTTACCTTTGTTCTCTTAGTCTTTCTACCATAAAACTTTTAGGGGTAATTATAATGCTTGCATATTCTTAGCTGATTTATAATGAGACCCTATCAGAAAATAACAAATTAGATATTTTTCTATACGCGACTTGATTAAAAACTTAAAATAATACCGTAGGACGAGTAATCTGAAGTGATATATGTTTCTTTGCTATAGCTTGCTGGAGTTCCAAAAGCATTACTTTGCTTTTGAGATATATTTTCTTTAATAGTTCGCGAAAAAAATAACATTCCGGTCTAAACAAAAGATATTTAATAGGAACAATTTCATGATAAATACTTAATAAATGAATACTATTCATTTCTCACCGTATTATACTTGATAATTTTTGAACATTAATATTAGTATTAAGCTTAAAATTATTATACGAAATTTAAAATAAAACTAACAGACACAATATATTCGTTTGATGACAGAAACGAATATGTAAATTCGGGGCCATAATGGTCTATAAATCCCAACAAATCATCGTTTGAATTACCGTCTGAATGACTGTATGGTCCAAATTCTTAAAAATAAGAAGTTGAATTAACTTGAGTACAGAAACTTTTTTTTTAGAGACCTAATCGCTTTTACCTGGATCGTAGGCAGTCAATACACTTTTATCATTATCAAGGCTAAAATCGTTGTCATTTATGTTGATAGTTAGAAGTATGCTTTTAAGACCTTCAAGTGTGAATCTTTCCATATATTTGTCTAAGCTTAAAAGCGTCTCCCACTTTTTAGTGAGAGTTTGAGCAGGTTGACTGATGTATTGTGTGCAATCTTGTAAATCACTTGCACTTACTAAATAAAAAATATATATCAAGATTAAATTTACTCACTAAATACATATTTGATTTTTTTAGCTTACTGGATTTCATGAAAGAACATGCGATTTTATAATTAAAATCAGCACTAAACCGAATATCTATAAAGTAGATATATTAATTAATTGCTGTTAAAAACTTCAGCTAATCGGTAAATTATGAACCTGGTATCGGAAGAGATTTTGTTTCAAATATGGTTTTGTGCAATACTGGCCCATCATCGCGTATATCAATAATTAAAAAAGCGGCAATTATCCGACATGCGACGATTGACTTTAGCTCATTATGACGGTATCGATAATAAATTTCTTGCAAATACATCTTAATTTGAATCCTTCAGCAAAAAAATCTTTAACCGAAGATATACTTACGTATTTGTGATGCCTTCTATTGCATACCGATACGCATGTACATACGTATATGCAACAATCTAATGTCATTTGCCACACATAAACATTCTATAAAAGAAGAAATGTGTTTAAACTCTAATTGATTGGTCAAACTTCTGATTAATACGTAGCACATGTACATGCATACCGGACCGGTATTGACGTGTAACAATTTTATTACAAATTTTTATGACCTGTCACTGTATGCAAAAAATAGATGCTGGTTTATTCCTCTATTAAAAAAAAAGCAGAATGAAATGACCAATGAATCAATTCAGATAATGTACATGTAATTCAAAAAGAGCACTATTAGAGGTCAGATTCTCAGGCACTGATATTGAAGCAGATCACTCTAAGAATGACTCATCACATTATTGGCAAAAGCATCTTTGACAGCAGGTTCTTGATGAGTAAGCTGTGCGAAGAATTGTTTTTTGTATTTTTTTCTCGAAATTTAAGAATATCCTCAAAAGATCCTTATTACAGTTTGTGCACAGCCAACCGATACGAAATCCCGACATTTAAAACAAAAGTAAGCCAAGAAGTTATGTATGGTGAAAAAATCAATGCGTATAAACATCGATGCCAACACGCATTTTAATTTGGTCTAATGAGTACATGTATTATGCAACGCATCAATATTAAATGAAAACGTCTTTGTGAATATATAGAAAATAGAAGTGAAATTAGAATTCTTTGACCACACTGATCTTATCTCCCAACACCAACTCTTACCCTAGCTCTATGCTCATACCTACTCTAACTTTATACATACCATAAACTGCTGTGAATAAGCACTACTCAATAGACATAATTTAGGGTCTAAAAATATTTTGTAATTCAAATTAAAATTATTAATAAATTTTGGCATATTTTTGTAATTTAAATATGGTTTAAATAAAATTGGTATGGCTCTTGTTCACAGTATAGAAAGTTAATTTATTCGAAATTTTTAATGTTTGAATTTCAGCATTTCGAAAATGTCGGGATTTTAAATGTCAGAATACAGTCCACCCTCGTTAATATGACACCCTTTAATATGACAACCGCGTTAATATGACCAACTGCCGAATCCAAACAATGAAAGCCTTTTTTGCTCTCGTTATTATGACATGTCATAGTAACCGTTATTATGACTATGACCAAAATTTTCCAAAATCTCTATATGATGTCATAATAAAGAGGGTATGCGACATATGAAATTTGATGATCGTAAACCAAATTGGTATATACAAGGCCCCTAGCGATTTGCATCTCGTTCATTTTCC